CAACGCCCGGGGGCCACACAGGCCCCGGGGCCGCGCTCAGGCCCGGCGGCCACGCTCAGGCGCAGGCCCGGCGGCCACACGCCAGCCCCGAGCGCGCGAATGTGCGTGGGACTCAGCGCCACCTCCCGTTTGCCCGCCCAGCCAATGAAAGGAAGGACGGCGACCTCGGCTGGGCCACGCTGCCGGCCGTGTCAGCACCAAGCGCGGGACACACCCAGCGCCGGAGAGGCAGCGGGGGCCGGGCCAAATACGTGACACTTTGTGCCTTTCACTAGCATGATGTTTTCAGGGTTCATCCATGTCGTAGCATGTGTTGGTATATTATTCCTTTCTTTGGCTAAATAATATTCTATAGTATGAGTCTACAATATTATTCATCTTTTTATAAGTTAATGGATGTTTTCACATTTTGGCTATTATGAACAATGCTGCTTTGTACATTTAGGTGCAAGTTTTTACGTGGACATATATTTTCAATTTTTGTGGGATTGCCAAATTATGTGGTAGAGCTATTTTTAACTTTTTAAGGAACTGCCATACTGTTTTCCAAAGAGGCTGTACCATTTTATAGTCCCACCACAAATTTATGTATGTTCTAATATTTCCATAATTTTACCAGCCTCTTTTTTTAAAAGAATTTATTTAATTTTAAATTTGTTATAGGGTGCATACACTCACCAGAGAGAGACAGGAAGAAAGGGAAAATGAGAAAGCAAGCCACTAGGTCTGGAACTCGAACCTTGATCAGCTATATGGGAGTCCAGCACCTTAACCACCATGCCATCTGCTGGCCCCACCAGCACTTATTATTGTTTATCTTTTTTGATTATAGCCACCCTAATGGGTGTGAAGAGTATCTTACTGTGGTTTTGATTTGCATTTTGCTGTTGATCAATAATGTTGAGTATCTTTTCATGTTGTTATGGGCCATTTGTTTATCATCTTTGAAAATGTCTATTCTTTTTTTTTTTAAGGTTTTTGTCTTAGGATATGTGCACTTGCTGGGGAGATAGAGAGACAGTGAAAGGGAAAGTGAGAAACAACACTTCAGGAGGGATGGCCATGCTACCATTTCTTCTCCATTCTTCTCCTGGAATCTTGGGCATGCATGCACATGTACCCAGTTGAGTTTCAGACCACCAGGTCCAGGACTCAAACCACAGTTGGCCAAGTGGGAGTCCAGCATCATACTGCTACAACATCTGTTGGCCCCCACACTTTTTAACTATTTTTAAATTGGCCTATTTGTCTTTATTATTGAGTTGTAAGAATTCTTTGTATATTTAGATACTAGTCTTTTATTAGCTATGAAAGTTGCAGACATTTTCTCCTGCTCTGTAGGTTTTCTTTTCACTTCCTTGATGGTATCATTTGTAGCACAAATGTTTTTAATTTCAAGAAAGTTCAATTTATCAATTTGAGATAACTTTTCTTTTTATTTTTTTCAATAATCCTTTTGCATAATTTTAAAAAACAGTTTCAGCAATCTTATCAATGTAAAGTGTATGATGACTAAAGTAAAAATACACGAACTTATCATGTAAGCTTTTTATAGGTTTTATTAGAAAACGTTTTCTTTATTTATGATAGAGCATGTCTACATGCATGTGACAGAAAGAGAAGAGAGGTGAGCACTCTCCACAAGGTCTGGTCATGCCATGAACACCTTTAGCCCATCATATACTGGGCATTCACACATGTGCCTGGCATGTTTCAGGCTGACTGGGCCAGGGATTTGAACCACAGTCGCCATGTGGGATCCAGCTTATGCTCAGGAGTACATTACCACTATGCCATTGAGCTGGCCCAAGTTTAAATCCTTACCTCTCCATCATTAATAGTAGTGGCTCCATTTCCCCCATTTGAGAATCCTAATTGATGAGGAAAATTAACATTCATTACTACTCACGTGTCATGGAAAAGCATATGCTTATCATGAAAGAATACCACACATATGGGTGGAGAATATTTATACTCTTTTATGTCTGTGTATGGAAAGCACATTATCTGTCTCCTAAACAAAAGGAATAATTTTCCACCCTCACCACTGTGGGACTCAGGACTTTTACCTTCTCAAACCAGGATCTTGGGTCCTGTAGCCTTTCCCTTTTACATCTCTTTAGTCCACTTCATCTCTACAGTTGATGCTCATTTCGTTCAAGTGGAAAATGTGATTTCAATGTGAGCAGGTCTTGTGGTTAAATTAGAAATATCCAGATAATTGTAGTCTCATTCCTGAAACCATCTCACAGTAGTTAATACATGAGCTATCTCATTTCCTCTGAATCACCCAGAGCAGACTGATTCAGCAATCCAATCTTTCAGACTTCTCTGTCTGTTCCATTCTCTGGGTTCAAATTCAGTTCCTCTGTTTCAGGTCATGACTCTCCATATTTGTTAGGCTTAACAAAGTCATGATCTGAAACAGAGAGGATGAATCTGATGTGCTTGGTGGCCTCAATTTTATTTAACAGAGTGTTTAAGATGTCCCCTCCATGGCCTTTTTCTCTTTGCCCAGAGAAACTACTCAGATACTACTCTGCTCTGGAGCCTCTCCTGTTTACTCTGTAGTTCTCTGCCCTTCAGCCCGGCCCAGGTCTCTGGCTCTTGGCTCTGTTGGGGCTGCCCTAGGTCACTGTGCATCCTGTCTCCATGCTCATTCCTATCTCTTTGCTACCTGAAACAAATTTATTGTTCTCCATCAAGTGTGCCCTTGGGGTATCCAGGGACAGTCAGGGCTGTCAGAAATGGGAATAAGAACCAAGAAAAGAGTTTGTTTTTCATGGAGCCAGATGATGAGGTATGTTGGCCAAGAAAAATTAGACCTCCTTTTCATCATTCCTAAAAAGAAGGTTTATTTGATAATCTAATATTTGAGGAGGGAGTCTTCAAAAAACTCATGAAAAAATGCATATTTTGAAAAAACTGCATGGATATCAAATTTTTTGCACCAAAATAAATGTGTACTATAATGTATTTTTCCACAAACTTTTTGAAGTCCTCTTATTGGGCTTGTCTCACTAGGAGGTAAAGCCTTACAGGAAGACTACTCCTGTCTCCTGGCTTCATCCCAGTATCTAAAACCCCAAAGGATACTCTTTGGTCCACCATTTACCTCCCACCACCGCCACCAGTTTGCCTACATACTGCCATTTATTATGTATCGCCAAGCAGTACTGATCCTATTTGCTGAAGTACTGAAGTTGCCCATAAATTCTAGCCAGTTGAGCAGATGTGTGGATCCACAGTTCCTCTTGAGATTCCAGGCACTGATGAGAACCAGAAGGCAGTAGGCCAGGAGCCTTCAGTGGGATGGACGTTCAGGCCTATGGCTCTGGCCTGTTATTGTTCACCCCCTCACACTCTCCTTCTAGCCAGAGAAGACAGGAGATAAGGAGGGCCCTGGGATTTACTCTCAAAGTCCACATTCCTCAGCCATTCTCACACTGTGGTCTCTCCCTCTGCCCCATGACAGAGGGCACCCCTTAGTTTGTGTAAGCCAAGAGTACCAACTAAGTCTCCTCAGAGTCTCTTGTTCCATATTGCTTAAGCTTATCTGTGAGTTTACTCACCACTCTAGGGGGATTAAATAGGCTGTCAACCAAAAAGCCCCTTCCAAACTCTGTTTATGAAGAGAACTTTCTAGATTCTCCCACCTTAGGAAAACAAACACCCATCCCTAACCTTCACCCCATTCCCTATCCTACTTGCCTAAGGCATTTGGGATGGTGTCTGTGGAGAGACTTAAAATAATGGAGACCTGCCACTCTGTGGCTAAGGCCAATCTCTGGGAAAAAATACCTCATTCTACAGAATGGAAAGTTGGGAGGGTTTTCCTTTTTCCATGTAGGCATAACAATTATGCTATTTGGGATCTTAAGAGCTTTTCAGATGCCAGTTTGCTTTTTAATCAAAAAAGGCATGTGGAAGGAATTAGGAGTTATTCCCTATCTTCAGGCCTCTGGTCCCCACTTCTCTGTTGCTACCATTTCCGTTGCTGCTGCCATTGGTTCCACAGGAGGTGAATCTGTGCAGAACAGACACCGACTGTTCCTGCCTTCCCCTGTTATCTCTATCAGAGTGTACACCATTGAATGTGTACGAAGAATGTGTTTTGCCCCCTTAAGTCTGTGGACAGGACTTTGAAAGTCTGTTTTATAGTGCACGTCTTGGTGATTTCTTGTATGTTTACTTGACCTAACTTTGGTTTTTCATTTGCAGTCACTGGAATTAGCTATGATCAAGTGAGTGACACAGATATTGAACAAAGGACTTCCAGTGACCACACAGATCACACCTACGTTTCATCTGCTTTCACCAAGGGAGAACAAGCATTACTGTCCATCACAGATAACAGCTCATCTTCTGACATCAGAGAGAGCTCGACCTCTTATATTAAGATCTCAAACTCCTCACATTCAGACTACCCTTCCTCTTCTGGTGCTCAGACTGAAAGAAGTAAAGTCTCATCCTATGAGGGGGAATATGCTCAGCCTTCCACCGAGTCACTGGTTCTACGAACATCCAGCCTTCCATCCTTCACATCTACCATTAATACGCCAAACACTCTGGTTCTTCTGGACACTGACGCTGGGTCTGTTGGAAACTCGTCTTCTTTTCCAAGTCCCCCTTTGCCGTCACCCTCAGTGTCACAGTCCCACCAGTCGTTCTCATCAACCTTACCATCAACCAGGGCCTCTATGCATCCACTGAAAAATACCTCTGAGGCATCTATACCTTTGTCTTCTTCACCACCACCTTTATTACTCTCCTTAATGGCCTCTACCCCTGCCCCACTTGCTATCTCACAAACAACCTTACCACATTCATCTTCTACCCCAGTCCAGCCCAGGTCAAGGGAGACACCCATGACTTCAGTTTGGATGTCGACAATGGCTTCGTCCATGGCAATGCTTCCTGGTAGTCAAGCAGCAGGCCCTAGGAACCAGAGCACTCCACACCAAGAGAAAATCAGTATGGAATCAAAGTCACCAAGTCTGGTGTCTCTGTCTGCAGAATCCACCAAAACTGTAACAGTGAGCTTTCCTTCATCCCCAGCCTTAACAGAGTCCTCTGCCAAGCGAACCCTTCCAGCCACGAGCACCAGCTTGTCCCACATGTCTCCAGCTTTGACAACCACCACTCTTCAGACCTCTCATCCTCCCGTGGCCACTCCCAGCACCCCATCAAGCACCACAGCTCTGATCGCTAGCCCTATAGCTGTACAGACCACGGATGGAAAACAGCTCTTGCCAACCTACCCTGAAATTCTAGTGCCGCAGATCTCAACAGAAGGTGCTGTCACCACAAAAAGGAACCAAGTGCATTTAGATACGACTGCTCGATCGATCCCTCTGACCAGTGTACCCACATCAGCAAAAGAACTGACCACGAAGCTTGGCATTACAGAAGAGTACAGCCCAGCTTCACATTTCCTCAGATCATCCCCTTCTTTCCAAACCACAGATGTTTCTACAACTGAAGTGTTGGGTCCTCAATCCACCACTTTCACTGCTCAGCTCAGCACCCAGTCACCAGTGGTGGCATCATCTCTAGCCCCAGGTAAGATGCATCTATAGGCACCCGTGAACAGCTAGGCTGGGCCAGCACTGAGTTCATGTGGCTTGGAGTTCATTTGAATGTATAGAAATGCTGATATTTGAGAGAGTGTCTGTTTTCTGATCTATAAAACTTTCTGTTGAATCATAAAACAGTGGGCCTGTTTTCTCACCTCTGAGTTGCATAATTCTTCCTGAAAAAAGAGGAAATGATGCATTGGCCATATGTCATCAGTAAATAGTGTAATTATAAGGTTTTCCCCCCCTCTTTTTTTTAGGTTTTTGCCATAAGGTGTGTATGCTTGTCAGAAAGAAAGAGAGAGGAAAAGAGAGAAGTCATCCCCAGAGGGGTGGTCATGCTATAATCCCTTGTTCTCCATCCTCCTATCAGGATTTTGGGCATGGACAGACATGGGCTTGCTGTGATTTTCAAGCCACCAGGTCCAGGACTTGAACCTCAGTCAGCCATTTGGGAATCTAGTGCCCTAACCACCACACCACCTACTGGCCCAATGTAATTGTAGTTTTTAATGCTCTGTGAATTGCAAGAGCTTTTCAAGCATAACTTCAACTTTTCAGAGGTCAGAGCAGAGCAATGGCCCAGGGTTGGAGGGTGGAGAAACTGAAAGAAAGAGGCTTTAAGTGGCTTGTCTGAGACACGGATTGGTTTGGGTGTCCCCTCCCAGGTCAGAGCCAGAGCTTGTGAGTTAGTTAGTTGGCTTCTCAGTTACCGTGGGGCTTCTTAGGGTCAGAGGGCTCCTCTCCATCGAGGGAAGCCCAAGCTCCCTTGTCTCCATATGGTTATGTCGCTACTTGGTAAGTGGGGGTTGGGGCACATGTCACAAACATGATGAGCTGAGCTTTCTCTGCAGTGGCTGCGTGACCAAAGCTCCCGTACATGGCACTGAAGGTGTCTGCAGAGCCACGTTGAAGTTGCCAGTTCAAAGAAGTAAAGCCATCCTAATGATTCTTTGTTGTTGAGGGGGAGATGGAAGGAAGTAGGATGACAAATCTTTTGATGTTATGTTCAAAATGACACATTTGGCTTGTCCAGACCCCGGAAAGGAAAATGACTGTTGGTGAAGGGGTGAAATGCAGCCTGTCATTTTCGGAAAGAAAGCAGAAAAATGCTTTGTAGTGACTGGAGCAGGGAGCTTGGAGAATGGCAGAGTTCCAGCCCGTCAGCCACCGTCAGCCGGGGGACTGGAGATGTGGCCGTCATTCCCAGCAGCCCCACAGGGGCCCCTCTGTACCAGTGCACTGAGCACCTCTGGGGAATGCACGGAGCCATGCTGCCAGGCTCACAGGCTTCCTTCTCAGAGATCATGTCCAAAGCCACATCCCCATCCGGGATAGAATTCACAGGTCTCCCTTAAAAGCCGATTATAGCCATCGCAATGGCTGTTAATACCATCCGTGTGCCAGGGCTCATGGATGTAGTGTTTGGTTATATAGGTGCTGAGCTTCTATAAGGGGCGTTAGGCGAAGGATTGGAATACCTTCCTCAGGTGTAAGTCATTTGTTTGTGGTTCTTCTGCCAGAACCCTTGACTTCTGCCTTTTTCCCATTTTACTCCTGCCTCCTTGCCGACAATGCAATTATGTTAGAGGTTTCAGCTTTTCTAAGTATGCGTTAGAAACCTTTATGAAATAATTATAGTTATTACATACGTAGTGTCTGACACTGCCAGCTATACAGAGCAAAACAGAGTCGTGGTCACTGCCCTTGGGCACCGGGGGTCAGAGATGACATTGACGCCTGTATGTCATGAGGGCCTAGATGAATCCAGTTCGGGCCCATTTTAGACTATGTGAAGAGAGAGGGCGTTGTAGGGCTTAACCCTGATCGTTTTCTAAATGATGCACAACATGTAGAAGCTCAGTTAAACGTGGAACTTTTTGGGTAAAGGAGACTGCGGTTTTGATGAAGGAAGTTCAAGAGGAAAGGCAGGGTGCATGTGCAGATATACTCACATACACATACACAGAGGAAACCTTGGAGCAGGAAGAATGAAGCCAGCAGGACTCCTTCCCCCCTGGAATGTATTTTAAATTGGCATTGGCTCAAACAGCATTTCCTAAGTCTCTCAAAGGCAGCGTAGCCATCGATCCTGCATGGAGTAACCTGCAGGTAGCGTTCGATGGAGCGCAGCCGTTGCCTACAAAGCCCTTTGTCTAACACTGACATTCAGACACAAGCTAGCACCCGAACCCCGTGCCCCTACGCCTATCTTCTGCAATGCTCGGGAACCCATCCTCTTTGAGTAGTGTGGCCTGTCGGGGCAAGTAAACAGAAATAAGCAAAAAATCAAATATTAGCTAAGAGAAGTAAATATTTACCTAGAGCTGCCGTTACACCTCCCGTGTGGCTAACTGCTTTATTCCTGGAATGTGTTTTTAGGTGATGGCTGTGCCAGGAACCCTTGTCTTCACGATGGCAAGTGCATTGTAGACCCCACCAGGGATGGCTATCGGTGCGTGTGCTCACCTTCCTGGCAAGGGGAAGACTGCAGCGTGGGTAAGAGAAAAAGTCATGTCCACACTGGGCTGTTCCATACACCCTTTGCTCCTCCAGCATGGAGAGGAATAAAATGCTGTAATCAACACCTGCTTACTTGAAAGTTAGCACATGTGTGTGTCGTCTGCAGGAGAACCTCAGGTACTGGAGTGGCACCGACAGACTTCCTGAGCTAGTTCTGTCTGTAGGCTCCCACGCTCTGCCACGCGGGACCTCCTCCAGCTCCCTAAGGACCCCATGCCTGCCGGCCCTTTTTCTTCACTGACCTGATTTCTCAGACTAGAATATGCCCCAACTCTGTTTATTAAAGTCCTTCCAGTCTTAATCCAGATGTTATTTGAAGCAGCATGAATTCTTCTCTCCATCTCTGTACATCCAAATCCTGCCTTGAATAGTTACCTATATAGCCAACTTTGCCCTTAGTGGACAGTCAGCGGTGCCATGTCACTCTGACTGAGTTCTTACAGTACTGGATTGCAATTGCGCTGCCACGGGCTCAGTATGGTCTTGTTTCTCCTCCGTAGACGTGAACGAATGCCTCTCAAGCCCCTGCCCGCCCCTGGCCACATGCAACAATACTCAGGGATCCTTTATCTGCAGATGCCCTGTCGGGTACCAGCTGGAAAAAGGAATATGCAATTTGGGTAAGAGAGTTAGTTTATCTTGGAAATTATTCTGTGTTGCCACTTATTTTGCAAAGGAACATTTACTGTATTCTCCCTGACCAAAACTTTATCTGGGGACCAGCAGATGGCATGATGGTTATGTTGCTGGACTCCCACACAGTCACTGCAGTTTGAGCCCCAGACTCAGTGGCTTAAAACTCATGCTGGGTGCCTCTGTGTACATGCCCAGGGTCCTGAGAGGAGAATGCAGGAGAAGGGATGGTGGAGTGACCATCTTCCTGCAGGGGGTGATTTCTCACTTTCTGTCTCTGTCTCTCCAACAAGCACACATGCCCTATAATGAAAGTTTCTTTTAAAAAATTAAAAATTAAACAAATCCGGGTATCTGTACAAGGTATAAACTTTAGGAATGTAGAAGTAAGTGGAAGACGTTGTCTATTATTCCAACACTCAGCAGCACATACCCTACTCTGCAGTTTTTTGATGTGCATCATCTTTCTACATAGTTGAAATCACAGGGCGCCAGCAGGTGGAGTGGTGGTTAAGGCACTGGATTTCCATATGGCCAACCACAGTTCCAGTCTAGGACCCCATGGCTTGAAAATCACACCAGGCAGGTGTGTGTGCACACGTGCCAAAATCTCAGGAGAAGAATAGATTGTGATGTGGTCATCCCCCCTGTCGGGGGGGTGGTGATTTCTCACTTTCTCTCTCTCTCTCTCACTGTATGCCTCTTTGTGCGCATGTGCCCTATGACAAAGAATCTATAAACAAAACAAAAGAAAGGGCTGTACCCTCCCAAAATAGCGGTCGAGTTTTGAAAATTATTTAAAATTCAACAAGTCAAAGCATTATTTAAAAAAGAATCTTGAGGGCCAGCAGGTGATGTGGTTGAGGCACTGGACTCCCACATAACTGACTGCAGTTCGTGTCCCAGTCCTGGTGGCTTGCTTTTTCACTTTCCCTTTCTCTCTCTCTCTGGTAAAATTAAAAAATAACAACATATGAAATGAAATAAATAATTCTTAAAAATAAAAATAAATAAATAGAAAAGAATCTAGAAATATAGATATCAGCCAAAATCCAGAATTATTCTTATCTAATAATTTATTTACATTTGGGTACCCTGTTCCATTTAGCCAGATGCCATAGGATGTAAACCAGGAATTTTGGGTTTAAGAACAGAGAAGATGGAAATGGTTTTGTTCTGAAGCACTGTGGAAACAGTATACTTGCCTAGGACTCGGATGGCAGGCTGCCAGCTCCAGGGCCCTCATCCACAGCACATGACTCCTGAGCCTCAATTTCCTCATCTGTAAAATCAGATTACCATCTGCTCTGCTTCCCACTCAAGGTGATTGTGAAGATCAAATAAAATAATGTATTTGAGCAAACTTTGAAAATGGTTAAGAGTTGCCCAGATGGGAGATATCACTTCACAGTAGCCTTCATACCCTTGGGCCATAATTAAAAGCAATGGAACAATAACCTACTTTGAATATCAAGTAATAATTATGGATCTTTGAAAAAAATATGTAAATAACATAAGGAAATCCACATTTAAATTTGAGGTAAAAATTTGACTTAAAGCCAAGTGTTGTAACTACAGGCATGAAGATTTGAATGTCCTCCCCAAAATAAACCCTACCTTGGAAAAAAATGCCAGGTTTGGGAGTGATCTGACACATCCTCATATTTATGCTGTAAGCAGCAGCCACGTTCACTGTCATGATTCAGAAGAGGTCTGTGTGCCTAACATTTGAATGTCTGTGTAAACCCAGACTCCCCGAGGCGTGAAAGTGAAGGAGTGGGGCCACTGCCCTGGAAGCCTGCAAGGTGGTGCCCCCCTGGTAGCCTGGATCTGGGGAAGGCAAGTTCTATTGTGTTAACAATTATCTTTCCCTTTCAAGTCATTTAGCTTCATTGTTCATAAACATCAGAGGAACATGCAAATTAGAGCATGCTGAAAGGCTTTCTGTTGGCCAAGAATGTTTTCAAAGAGCTCCCTGCTGCTCAGAAAGAGTCCTAAGCAGCTGGCTTCACTGAACTGTAGAACAAGCAGAAAGATGTTAAATAAGGATTAAGGGCTTTAGACAGTAAGTATAAGATGTTAAATGTTTTCCCTGGCTCATTTGCAGGCCTTTTTCTTAATTCGGCATGTAAGCGTTCTGTGAAAGAACAGCTTCATGGGCTTCTGTGTTTTGGTTTATTTATTTATTTTTCTGTCCAAAGGGAAAGATAAGAATTCAATACGAAAGCAGATAAGAGCCAGATATAAAGTAGGCTGTACTAATTTTTGGTTGCCTGCCCATTTGTAAGTCGCATTACCCTCAGGTCCAATCAGCACAAATTGGTGTTAACTAGAATTTTATTTTACGAGTGAAATGCGCCTTGAAAATGGGACTGTTTTCTTTCATTTCTGAACCTAACGGTGTCTTGAATATGCATTGTTTCCGTTATGTGCCTCATACTCATGGAGTCTGGTAGCCCCCTGGAGTATTGGCACCTTCTTCTGAAGCCCCATAGTTGTCCATAGATGCTCCTGTTCCTCAGGATGCAGAGGGTTACCGTGGAAAAAGAACTTTGAAGATGGACGCACATGAGTTTGGATGCTAATTGTGGCCCTTGGGAGCCTGGATGATTTTTCTTCGGAAGTTACCTGGCTGCTGGAAACCTGTTTTATCAAAGAGATAAAGGGCCCTTCCTCTGAGAAAAAGGAATTGGGTTGGGCAAGGATTGTGCTCATGAAAAGAGGAAATTGAAGTATTCTCTTGAAATTGATGGGCTCTGTTTGGTTACAGGCCTTGGAGAGCAAGAGCGTTCCTCTGTCTAAAGCCTTATGAAGTCTAAGGGACGTTTTTAGTAGTCTGTTACCACATCTCCCTTCCCTCCTTCCTGCTTATCTTGCTACTACAGCTCGTCTTTCTCCTTTGTCACAGCTTGTGCATCTATCATGTAGGAGGTCGTTAGAAAGTTGTCACTGTTGCAGGATGGCTTCTGTGACAATATCTAGATCTTGGTGTTTCAGACAAAGAATCAAACACACCACACCAACGGTGAAAGGAAAAGGTAGTTTATTAAGTAAAAGTGAAAATACACTCCCAAGAGGTAGGAGTAGCCTGAGTAGACAGAGAAAGAGTGGCTCAATAGGCCCCGACAGTGGCGTTCTGCAAGATTTATAATTTTTTAATCTAGGTTTTGTTGGTTGATCATTGACTGGATCCACTGATTGTTCTCATCTCATTGGCTTTATTTATTTATTTATTTTGGGGGAGAGGTTTTTGCTATAGGGCATGTGCGCTTGCCAGAAAGACAGAGAGACAGAAAGCAAGAAATCACTCCCCCAGGGGTGATGGCCACGCCGCAGTTCCTTCTCCTCCATTCTCCTCTCGGGATCTTGGGCACGCATGCACATGTGCCTGGTGTGAGTTTAAGCCACCGGGTCCAGGACTTGAACCATGGTCGACTACATGGGAGTCCAGCAACATAGCCATTATGCCAGTTGCTGGTCCCTCATTGGCTTTACTGAATGTGGCTGGGCCCACTGATTCATCTCAGTGGCTATATTAAGTGTGGCTTAATCATCTAGACATCCCCCACTAATCTGCTTGCATTACTCTGGGCAGGGAATTTTCTACCCTGATCAATTTTTCTGTCTAGCCACATGGGCAGATGCTCCAGCCCCCTTACCCACTTCATTTGCTAGCTTTCTCCTGCCTCATCATGAGATTCCTCTCAGTAGCGTTTGCACATACACAGAAACTCCTCTTAGTTTTCACCCAATGATGTACTCTTAGCCATCAGCTCAGCTCAGTAGATGCTCACTTTTCTAGAGATGAACTAAGAAAATGGAGGTGGTCTCTACCTTCAAGGAGAAAGAAACATACAAAGATTGTATTGTGAGGGGGAGCCAAGCTGGATATCCCAGAAATTCACAAACACATAGCATGTGTAGGCCTATCTATGGTGTGGTCTAATTGCTTGTGTTTTCATTTTCAGTTAGAACCTTCGTGACAGAGTTTAAATTGAAGAAAACTTTTCTTAATACTACCATGGAAAAACATTCTGGCCTACATGAGGTTGAAAATGAGATCACCCAAACGGTAAGTTTCCTGAAGGGGATCTTCATGCCAGTCCTTTGTTTTCTAGAACAGGTTTTATTCAGGATTAGGGACCATCTAGGGATCCGCTGTATCTTCTGGGCTCTTTACTTCTATTATATTTGGAAGGAAAACCTTATGATAAAATAAAAAGCCCCTTAAAATGTTAAAAAGTGGAAAAATATGGAAGATTTACTGCTGAGTGAAGCAAGCCAGGCTATGAAAGAGAAACATTGTATGTCTCCACTTACTATATACTGACAATCTGCACTCTGTCTGAAACTGAAAGATTAGAGGAGATAGAAACATGGAAAATGATTATGGATACTCGATACAGTGTCAGAAGAGGGTGGGAGAAGGTGAGGAAAGATATTAAGGAGAAAAGGACATTTGTGGGACACAGAAATGGATTTTTATCTGTTGATGATAACGTGAATAATTTCCCTAACTGGACTGGTACGAAGTATATTCATGTTGGAAAATTCACTTTACAAGCTAAGTGATGTATAGTGATTGAATGTATAAAAGAGATTAAAATAAAATAAAATATATTTTTAAAAAAGAAAGAAAGAAAGAGAGATGTGGAGACCAGGAGATAGCATAGAGATTACATTTCTGGACTCCTACATGGCCCACTGTGGTTTGAGTCCCGAACCCAGTGGCTTGAAAATCATGCTGGGCACATGTGCATATGTGCCCAAGATCCTGGAAGGAGAATGGAGGAGAAGTTGTGGTGTGGCCATCCTCCTTCAGGAGGGGATGATTTCTCACTATTCCTCTCACTGTCTGTGTGTGTGTGTGTGTCTCTCTCTCTCTCTCTCGCCTCCCCCTCCCCACACCAAACACATGTGCCCTAAGGCAAAAACCTCTAAAAAGAGAAACAGAAGTGTGGCCAGCAGGTGGCATGGAGGTTTAGCCAACTGTGTGATTCAAGTCCCAGATCTGGCAGCTTGAAAAATATCCCAGGCACATGTGCATGTGTGCTCAAAATCCCAAAAGGAGAGTGGAGGAGAGGGGATTGTGGTGTGGCCATCCCCCCTGGGTAGTGCTTTGTCCCTTTCCTACTCTCTCTCTGGCTCTGTCTTGCAGAAAGAAAGGAAAAGAACTAGAAGTGTTGAGACCTAGTGTTAAGAAAAAAGTGTTTCTTCACATGTGTCCTCGTGCACCATCTGTCTGTGCTGGTATTTCTCTTCCATGTGCAAATTTGTAGTCATAGGCATATGGACGACATGCACTATTAAGAGCTGCTGGTAAGGAAGAAAGACCCAGAGAATCCTACTGGCCCATCTGCTGTTGATATGCTGTGTGACCTTCTTCCTCATCTATGAGCTTGGAGAGAATGATGCTTTTTTTCCTCAAGGGAATTCCAAAGGCAAAACCTTGAATCTTGATTATCTAGGTTTTGAGAACTCACTATGTAGATTACCTAGAGGCCTTTGATTCTACTTCTTTTTTTGCCTGCTTTTTAAATTTAATTAAAAAAATAAGTAAATGGAAACTGGAGAGAAGAAAGGAGAGGGAAGTGCAGATTATAAGTTTTGTTTCTCAGCTGCTACTCAAGTCAAAGATGGTTATGCAGACCATCGAAATTGTCCGTTAAAATACGCTTTAGAGATGTACAGATTTGTCATTTCATTTTACTTGTTCTTTGTGGGGAAGAGTTAGTATAGCAGTCAAGAATTACACATTTTATAGGACTGTGGATTTTAGTTGTATAAAATACAGATTCTAATTCCATTTCCGTTTCCACTGAGTGTCTACTCTGTGACAAGGACTATGCCAGATGGCTCTCTCTTATGAGACGCATTGCCAACATCTTTGTGAGGGAAAAACTGGAAGGCTCTAGAAAGTAATGACATTGCAAGAGTTCACACAGTCTTGTAGACCACCCTTAGTTTCAATTTACTAGAAGAACTCATAGAACTTAACTGAAAGCTGTTACACCAATGGTTACCGTTTATTACAATGGAAAGCTGTAGGTTCAAATCAGCCAGGGAAGAGCTTGGGGCAGAGGGTTCCAAGTGCGGTTTCCAGGTGTCCACTCCTTGTGGAGTCACAGACTGTGTTAACTTGTCTCAGCAACAATGTGTGACAATATGCAGAGTATTGGCAGTCACGCAGGCCCACCTGACCCTTGGCATCTAGAGGACATGGACATGGTCAGCTGCCTGCTTGGCTGACCTCAGTCTCAGGCTTCTGTAGATGCTGAACTGACACCATGTTACCCAAAGCCCTGGCCATAAGTAATCCCATTAGAGTCTCTGGCATGATCCAGGGCCCCCAAGTAAACAAAGACATTTGATCACGCAGGACATACTAAGGGCTTAGAGAGTGCCTCTTAGGAGTCAAGGGCAAAGGTCAGACCTTTACATAGGCAAGGTTAAATTCTTTACTACATGACAAGGGTTTGTGTCTACCAACCCTAGCTACACTTCGTATTCTTGACACTCGCCTTCTGAGATGAGTACTGGGTTTAGAACCCTGTGTAGTGGTGCAGTTCTTCACATTACACAGTGCTCAGTGGTTTAACTGATTTTGTTTTTTTTTTTTCCAGTATTAATGCATAATTGATCGCTGATGTGACACATCTGCCCCCAAGAAATTGTAAAGATTTAAAAAGCTACTAGGGATGCCATTCACATCATTTTTCATAAGATGTCATTCTGTTCACTAATACCTGAGGAAAAAATAATTGTTAATAATGACGTAACAGGGACCAGCAGATGGCATAATGGTTATGTCGCTTGACTACCATGTAGTCAACCACAGTTCAAGTCCCAGGCCTGGCGGCATAAACTGACACTGGGCGTGCGTGCTGAAAATCCCAAGAGGAGAATGGAGGAGAAGGGATTGTGGTGTGGCCATCCCTCCTGGGGGGGGTGATTTCTTGCTGTCTGTCTCTCTCTCCAGTAAGTGCATGCACCTATAGCAAAAAACCTAAATAAATAAATAAACAAATAAATAAATAAAATAGTAACACAGCAGTAATAAGTCATTGGTAATAGGCCAAAAAAGAGTTTAAAAATGAAATTGGGTAGACTGCACCTTCTGTAGAGTAGAATGTCTCTGAGACACAGACTTTGAAGACAGGTGGATCTGCATTGGACAAGGTATTGAGACCCTCGGCTCCATGAAAGTAATCTCCAACCCCTTTTGTGGAGGAGGAGGAGGAGGAAGCAGACATGATGTGTCTACCAACCCTAGCTACACTTCGTATTCTTGACACTCGCCTTCTGAGATGAGTACTGGGTTTAGAACCCTGTGTAGTGGTGCAGTTCTTCACATTACACAGTGCTCAGTGGTTTAACTGATTTTGTTTTTTTTTTTTCCAGTATTAATGCATAATTGATCGCTGATGTGACACATCTGCCCCCAAGAAATTGTAAAGATTTAAAAAGCTACTAGGGATGCCATTCACATCATTTTTCATAAGATGTCATTCTGTTCACTAATACCTGAGGAAAAAATAATTGTTAATAATGACGTAACAGGGACCAGCAGATGGCATAATGGTTATGTCGCTTGACTACCATGTAGTCAACCACAGTTCAAGTCCCAGGCCTGGCGGCATAAACTGACACTGGGCGTGCGTGCTGAAAATCCCAAGAGGAGAATGGAGGAGAAGGGATTGTGGTGTGGCCATCCCTCCTGGGGGGGGTGATTTCTTGCTGTCTGTCTCTCTCTCCAGTAAGTGCATGCACCTATAGCAAAAAACCTAAATAAATAAATAAACAAATAAATAAATAAAATAGTAACACAGCAGTAATAAGTCATTGGTAATAGGCCAAAAAAGAGTTTAAAAATGAAATTGGGTAGACTGCACCTTCTGTAGAGTAGAATGTCTCTGAGACACAGACTTTGAAGACAGGTGGATCTGCATTGGACAAGGTATTGAGACCCTCGACTCCATGAAAGTAATCTCCAACCCCTTTTGTGGAGGAGGAGGAGGAGGAAGCAGACATGATACTTGATGCTGTAGAGGGGTTTTCTGCTCTCTCTGAGGGCATAAGGCAGACACAGGGTGCGTAGCTTTTAATTTGCTTTCCACAAAAGAGCCCTTGACCCACGTAATGTCATTTCCCGTGGAGAGCCTTTTTGAAGACCTATCTTTGAGTTAGGTCAACTCATGGTAGATTATGAGGGGTCTATGTAGGGCCGTCAGACCTGGGGTAGCCGAAACGAGCTGGGCTTTTCAGCGAAGTGCATTCACTATGCAAAGTGCACATAAACAGTTGCCTCCGAGTTTTTTGAAACCCTGGGTCTTAGAAAAGATCTGCTCCTTTGAAGATGTTTTGCATCCAAGGGTGTTGTTCTGAACATCATTTCCTGCCAAGATTTCCCCCACTGATTTAGTATCTGCCTCTCTCCCTTTGTACTCCTGGAACAACAGAAAGGCATTTAAGAGGAGAACTAAAAAAGGACGCCACTTCTGTATAAAGCCGCCCGCTGATAACTTGATAGCTGGAAAATGCCTATTTTATCGTGAAAATAGGAAATTGGTTCTTGGTCCAAGGCTTTTGTTTAACTCACAGTTAACAACAGATCTGTTCTTCTTTTCAGTTAAATGCGTGTTTTTCAGTGTTACCTGGTTATATCCGATCTACAGTTCATGCTTCTAGGTGAGTAACAGAGTTGCATCTGTTTGTGAGCCAGTCTTCTGAAAGGGGAGGCCATTCTAACAAGGGCAACAACATCCAAGCTGGGCTCTGTTTGGGCCAAGCCACTGGGTGATTCAGGGCCAAGGTCACTGGACCTTCATGCTTTCTCACTCGCTCACTGGAGAATGGCAGTGACATTCATTGTCCAAAAGCCCTGGGGTCCGTCTAATTGTCATTTTTTTAAAAGAATTATTTTATTTAACTTTATTTATTATTATTATCATTATTAGTTTCCAGTTTGATCAGAGAGACAGAGAGAGAGGAAGTGAGAAAGCAAGCCACCAGGTCAGAGACTTGAACCATGATCGGCCATGTGGAGTCCAGCACTTTTAACCACCATGCCACTTGCTGACCCCAAATTGTCATTTGAGGACCATTAAAAACTCACCATCTGTGCCTACAGGGAGTCCAGTGCAGTGGTACTCTCTCTGCAAACCACCTTTTCCCTGGCTTCTAATGTGACGCTGTTTGACCTGGCCGATGGGATACAGAAGTGTGTCAACTCCTGCAGGTCCTCTGCTGAGGTCTGCCAGCTCTTGGGATCTCAGAGGCGCATTTTCAGAGGTAAGACAAAGGGCCTCTGGGAGGACTGTGTCCGTAGAGTTAGCACAGACCTAGGATAGAAACGTAAAGCTTCCGGGCTCAGGCCCAGGAAAGCTCATCACAGAGCCTATCTTTGCAATGGATGTTAAATAGAAGGCCCGCTTGTATATGCTCCTTTTCACGTGTGTACATGTGCACGTGTGCACCCACACATACATGGGGTTCTGAACACACGCAGCCTGGAAGGCACCTGTCCTTGGCATGTGTGTTCTATGTCTCCTAAACACTGTTGGTGTGGGAGAAGGGATTTAAGAGTCAATGTGACAAATCCTTCTTCCCCTGGAAGATTCCTGCTCTCTTTGGGGAGATAGCATCTCACCGGCAGAGTGCTTGTCATTGGCCCAAGAGCCTTCATCATGGCAGACTATTAAGTGTTATTTTTTTAAAACCTCTTGTGCAGTATTACCCATCTTTTTTGTTTGTCAGTTTGCATATTATAAATGCATATAACAAGACTAGAAGAATTTAGGCCAGAATGCTCACAGAGGTGCCGTCAGCAATGATTTTCCTTCTCTTATTCTTGCTTTGTCTATTTTGTCAAACGTTTCCACAGTGCTTCTGGTATGAGGCAAGTGAAGAAAGGGATTAGAGACAAGTTCAGAAGGCAGATTTGGGTCTTGGAGAAGAAATGTTGCCTCTGGGATGGGAAAAGTGCTGGAATCAAAAGTGCTTCTTTGCAAAGGGAACTTGTCCCAGCTGCCATAGCATCAGTGATCAAAGTGGGCTCTGGTTAGCTCATTTTACTACAAAACGAGGGCTGGCAAAGGATGTCGAATCCAGGCTGAACCTCCCCTCTGGTAACCAGATGCTAGACATGACTTGAAGGTATCAGGTTTTGGCACGCTCTCTGCTGGGAGATCTAGAATAGTCCCAGTGGGCCAGGGTTTTGGAACTGCTGTACCCAAGAACTTTCCTTAGTAGGTCTGGGAGTTACAGAACATGGGAGCTGGGTAGTTAACCTTTCATTCTGGGATCAGCACTGGAGGTTGGCCCATGCTAGTTATTAATTTGAAAAATAGAGTTAAACTTTCTGGAGTTGCAGGTGCTGTCAACTGCAGAGTTAGAAAGTTCATACTCTATTATATTGTACTCAAAACTTTAAGATTCTTGAGTTTTACTTTTTTGTTTCTCCTGCCACGCATTCAAGGGTACCAGTTTTTCCTCTCCAGGGTACCTCTTAATTCATGAAATATTTATGGAGTAGATTCTATGTGGTCAGCGTTGTGGCAGGCTACTTTTTGTCCCCAGTAAGTGCGTCTGTACTTTTGCAAATCAATTGGCCAGATGTCTGGATTTGTGAGCACCTGCTCACAGCAGCCCTATCCACCCTCTGAACCCCATTCTTTAGCCTGCTTAAATGGGGCTTTTGGGAAAGCTGTGGTCACCCTTACTTCCTTTCTGAGGTCCCTATTCTTGACTTCTTTCAGAGCCCTTGAGAACAGAGACAGTCGTGCATATTGACTGGAAGCAGGCCCACATCCCTAGTTTTCCCTCCTAGGTCTTCTCCAGGTTTTTCCACAAACTCAGCTTGGTCTCTTGCTCACCATTCTATGTGCTAGAGAGGTGGGTCTGACAGATCCTGACAGCTGACGTTTCCAACGTAGGGCTCTGGACTCTGCTGTTGGACAGGGGAGGTTTTTCTCCTTTCAGTTACGAACATCCACTTCCTTGCCTTTCTGCAGCTCTCATTGTCTCCAGAGGTTTAGAGACTTTGGAAATCCCCAGTGGAATGTCTTAGACTTAGATTTATTGAAGTTCTCATTGTCTGTTTTTGGCGGATGTTATGCCCAGGAAAGACCATGGGAATTATGAATGGAGAAAGGTCACATTGCTAAGCTTCAAGTGAAAAGGGTGGTTTTATTTGACAGATTTATGATAGATCGTCTTTTGAGAACTGTTAGGATAGCAACTCTTCCATCGCAGAGGCAGGGCCTGTTCTCTCTGCTTTCATGTGAATCTCTTGTGCAGGGCAGGGCCACTTCAGTAGGGTGATTAGTATTTCCCAGCAGGCTGGGCTCATGGGCAGGATGGCTTCCAGAAAAATATCTAATCAGGCCAGGCACCTCAGGCTGGCTGCTGGACAAGGCTGATGCTGGCTAGACAACTTTTTATCCTGGAGGTATTTCTTTATATTAAGGCTTACGGACTGGCAAAACCTTCAAAGAGTTGAGATGAGGGATTGTGGAAGATCACTACCTCCCTGGTGCCAGCATTATGTTTGCCTGGTGAGATTTTAACAATTTTAATTTTCCCCTTACATACAAACTTTTTACAATAAAGAAAGGAAATTCTATCACCACACACAAATGGGGTTCTAACTTAGCACGCTGATTTCCACTGATAAAGACAGGAAATTCAGTGTTGAAAACTTAGGTTGTGTCCTAAACTGACCTCCCTGTGATCAAGCTGCCCTCTGCCCTGAGCTTTCAAGACTCACAAAAGGAGGTGAGGGCCGGGAATGTTGTGTGGCCCGTGGAACCCCAGGTGGTAGCCCATGTCACCAGAACCTGCCTGGGCCATTTTTTGCAGTGTTAAGAGCTGATACCTGGTGTCTTCCTTGTGATAGGTGAGAGGCAACCATGCCTGGAAGATTGGTGGCCATTGCTCACTATAGACCCGTGGCCTGGCCATTGTAAACGCTCTTTCCATTCTAAGCTGCTCTTAACTCCCAGCAACAGCAAGTAGCTCTCTTGCCTTGCCCTGTACATGGGTGTAGATAAGTTACTACTCACCTCCCAGTGGCTTTATCTTTCTACTCTGTGTACACGTGTTCTTGTCAGGCTTATCTTAAAGGATAAGATGCATCCTCACTGGGTCTGTTGTACACGACCTCATAAAAGGCCACGTGCCCAGCCATGACTGCTTTCTTGATAATGATGAAATGATTGTTTGTCATCCTTGGAATGAATAAGGTCCCAAAGTGAATGAAGTAGCAAGTCTGAAAGATGGGCCACTTCTCTGCCTGCCTGTTTCTCTTGATGGTGGCCTAGTGACTGAGAGGCTGACAGCACCTTCAGCATACCTGTACAGGAGTGACTGTGCTTGGGGAAAGCCATCAGTGGAGTGGAGGGGGCAGATCAACAAAGTCACACTGCAGCTCTGGGCAAGCAGCTTCTTCCCTACTTCTCCTTGTAGGAAGGCTTGGTTAGGCAGATGGTGTCAGGGCAGCAACCCAGCCCGCCCCAGGACTGGGGCTGGGCTCCTTCAGGTCATGCAGATGTCTACACAGAGCCAGCACACTTCTGCCCGAGACAGGGTAAGCCAGCTCCAGCTGTTCCTGGCCCAGGGCTCCTGGGTTCCTGAGGGTGCGGACATATCTTCTGGGTTCGTGCCGATGCCCCTGCTGTCCTTCACGATGAAGTTGCAGAAGACACTCACCACTGAGGCTTATCAGCTGTGAGTGCAGAAGAGGGAGCAGCGCCCGTTTCTCCCCGGTTCGGTTTCTCTGTGGCATGCCGTGAGGGTGTTTTCAGGGGGGCAGAGCTTATGACCATTCCTTAAGTAGGTCTGGGGCTGGTGGGGCGGGGAGTGGCAGAGGCAAAGCAGAATGAATCTCTGCAAGGAGACTTCACAGAAAACTGTTCTCGGAGCCTCTTGACACAGAAAGGTCATGCATCTCAAGGCTTGAAGTGGAGAGCGTTTGGTTTTGTTCCACTGTCCTGTTTCTCCATTCCAGCGGGCAGCCTGTGCAAGCGGAAGAGTCCAGAATGTGACAAAGAGACTTCCATCTGCACTGACCTGGATGGCGTCGCTCTGTGCCAGTGCAAGGCGGGCTACTTTCAGTTCAACAAGATGGATCACTCCTGCCGAGGTAGCGACGCGGTCACGGCCGTTCTGTGCCCCGTCTCTGCTTTTCTCTGCCCCATGCTCCACTCTGCTCTAGATGTGCTGCGTTTTTTTGGTTTTTTTGTGTGTTTTTTTTGGAGAGGTTTTTGCTATAGGGCGCATGCACTCGCCAGACAGACAGAGACAGAGACAGAAAGTGAGAAATCACCCCGTGGGGGGCGGGGTATGGCCACGCTGGAATCCCTTCTCCTCCATTCTCCTCTCAGGATCTTGGGCACACACGCGCACGTGCCCGGCGTGAGTTTTAAGCCACTGGGTCCGGGATGTGAACCACGGTCGACTACATGGGGGAGTCCAGCGACATAACCATTACGCTAACTGCTGGTCCCTAGATGTGCTTCTGAGTGAGGGTAACTGGTTCTTGTTGTTTTGCTCACAGCAAGAATGAATACCTTATCCCCTTGGAATAATAGCATTATCTCCAACTGGTCTATGCCAGTCTGGCCAATCAAATTCAAAGGATAAGAAAAGAGAATGGAATGTCTGTTAGCAATGCCTTTTCTTTTTCTTCACTTAGAAAAACTATTGTTTTAATTCCCATAGCATTATCTGCCAACTGCTAATCTTTTAAAGTGGAAATACAGGCATAGAGTCAGAGGCAGCCCTGGCTTGGCAAACTGAGTCAGAGCCAGACTCTGCCCCTCGGATGGCGTCTCCTCTTGGCGAGTCACTTTCTTCCTCTGAGCTGCAATGTCTGTTAAATGGCTGTGACGATGCCTCATTGTCTGTTCTGTGCTAAAGAAGGCAGGGCGTGTGGAGCACTCACACTTGCACTCTACCTAGGTTGTTGTGGAATTCAGGAGTGATGGTTCTCAAGTGTTTGAGAGCAGAAATCTGCTTCTGCTAACCTTTTAGATGAGGCTTAAATTTATTCCATTTGAGGAAAAGCCTACTCACTTAGTACAGCCTAAGAATAGTGCTTTCAAATAAAATGTGTTCGGGTCCAGAGCACCGTGTACCCTGACTCATGCAAGACTGCTACAGTTCATGATCACCAGAAAAACTGGCAACCAGAGGCCATCAAGGGGGCCAGCTGGTGTGTTGGTGGTTAAGGTGGCTAGGTCCCACGTGGCCAACTCACTGTGTAGTTCAAGTCCTGGACCCAGCAGGTTGAAAAACTCACTGGACAGGTGTGTGTGCATGACCAAAATCCCGAGAGGAGGGAGAAATAGAGGAGAAGAGATTGCCGCGTGGCCACTCCCTACGGGGAGCTGGGGGGGTGGGGTGGTATTTCTCTGTCTCCTGTGAGTGCACACGCCATCTGGCAAATTAAAAAAGAAAGAAAGAAAAGCCATCAAATACCTTTAAGCTTTGCCTCCCGTTAGAACGTGGATGGCACAGTTACAGTTTCTCGCTCAGCCAGCACCTTGCTGATGACAGATGTCCTGGAATCTGACTAAAAACTATCACATGCTGGGGCAAGGTGACGTGCCACTCATTTCTGTCAGGACCTCCCATCAGAGGACTCATTCCTTCAGAAGCAGACGGGCAGCATTGCCATCCTGAGCTTCAGAACCTCTGGCTTCATTGGGTTTAGAACGCACTTCCTTTAAAGTGTGTGCTGTCAGCTCCCCAGGGGGCTCGTGCTGGCTTCTGAAGAGGAGGGCTGGCTGTGTGTCGGCACGGTGCGGATGCGTGACTGGCGTGCAGCCTTTCCCAGCGCCGCGCCAGACTGCAGCTTTGCTACAAAGCGAATGTTTCCAAATTCCGTCTTACCTGGTCTAATGTAAAGTGTTCCTTGTTCTTTTAGAAATGGGGAATTTAGCCTAGCTTTGTGTGGAAGGCCATACTGAAGTCTGTGTGCTGGGATGCTGTGCAGTTGGGGGCAGGGGATACCAGGTGGAGAGAGAGTGGAGGTGGAGGTGTGATGGCCCCTGTGAGTCGGGCCTCAAGAGTGGCCTGGCCACCTCTGCTTTCGGCTGACTTGAGCCACTTCCCTCTATTCCCAAGTCAGCGATTTCATAGGTGTTTCCCTTACGGGCTGGCACGAGCGGTAGCAGGCCTATCAGAGATGTACCAGATGTAGTGACACAAGCACCTTGTGGTTATCAAGAGACACATGAGGAAATGTTGATTAGCTTTGGGACTTGCTGAGACCCACGAAGCCCCTTCCTGCAGCGTTTGTGGTCATCAGGCCACCGACGGATTTTGGAGCTTCTTGGGCCACAGCCCTGGTAGCTAGGTTCTAGTGGGTTAGCAGTGACATCTTCTGGCCATCCTTGCTGGAGCACAGGGATATTCAGAAGAACAGGTCTTTGGATACCCCAAGTCATTCACAATCCTCTATGCTGTTCTCCATTGAACACCCACACACACCTTTACCATCTCACAGAAAATGCCTTTGCAGTGTCTCTACCAGAATTTCAAAACTACATATAAAATCGAAGTAGGTCCTTCGCACAGGGCTCTTAACTCCCTTCCATTATGTGGGCCTCACGACGAAGTCTCACGGTCGGTTTGCCTCTCTCTTTCTCTCGCCAGACTGCTAGCACCTTGAAAGCCAGAACTGAGTCTAGAATGGTGTTCAGCACGTTGCGGAGTTTCACAAATGCCTGTTGAATGAACAAATGAGAGATGAGATAGCAAATAAGACAGGGAAAGATAGGCATGTCTTGACTTAGTTTCCTGCAAGGGAACCAAAGAGTCTTTAAGACTGTACCGCTTTCAATTTTTAAGTCCAGAAGCTTGAATTTGCTTATGACCTATAGTGATAGGGGAGGCCATTCGGGTATGTGTTCTAGTTGTTGCTGTGTTCATTTCAGAGGGGCCACAGTCCCTCTGTGGTGTATGAGATGAGAAGCAGCTTCCTAAGGAGCACAGGAGTGCCTACCTCACAGGGTATCCCCTAAGAGCCCCAAGAATAGCTCCAGCACACAGTCATCCTGCATCTTCCACCACCGACTAGATGGGCCCTGTTGAAAGGGAAACATATCATTACATCAGGGAGTCGGGCTACTTCTGAAGCTAAATGAAAACAACCCACCCATCGGCTCGCAGGCAGGACAACAGACGGACCTCACATCTGGCTGGACGACAGCCCAGGAGCGGAACGCTCCCACCCAGCAGATGAGGGCTGATGTTGGGTGTGTAGGTTTGATGTGAAAACATTTCCAGGAAGAAGTGTTCAGAATAGAACAGACTGGTGTGACATCAGCCTGCCTTGGTGCCGAGATGGGTGGGGATGAGAAGCGAGCAGTCCCCACGTAGCTGCCCTGAGGACTGAGCCATGGGTCATCCTGGGCGGCTTACCCCACTCGCATGACCCTACTGTAGCATGAGGCAGACTGCATGGCAGAAAGAGGACCCAGCTTTCCATGCTGCCCTAGGGAGGCAAGAGAGAAAGGTCGCTCCTTCGAGAAGGCCCTGCCTGAGGAGGGCCAGTGGAGACCTCAAAAGTATCAAAGATTAGGAGACGGGACCTCATTACGCCTTCCTTAAATGAGTTACAATTATGGTCTACCTTGTTGCATCAAGGACTTGAAACACCTCGTGAAAATTCATGTGAGAAAATAAGATTTAAAAATACTTAAAAGAGGGACCAGCAGTTGGCGTAATGACTATGTCACTGGACTCCCCTGTAGTTAACCGCTGTTCGAGTCCCGGATCCGGTGGCTTAAACTCACACCAGACATGTGTGCGTGCGTGTGTGCCCAAGATCCTGAGAGGAGAAGGGATTGTGGCATGGCCATCCCCCCTGGGGGATGATTTCTTGCTTTCTATCTGTCTTTCTGGCAAGCGCATGTGCCCTATAGCAAAAACCTCTAAAAAAAAAAATCCTAAAAGATAAACCAACTTGAAGGGAGATAAACTGACTAATTTGTTGAGGTCAGAAGGAAAATGGATGTGCAGAAAGCTGCACCATAAGGTCCTACATAATTGCTGAAAGGCCACATGCTTAACTTAGGAGCTTCCTGGACACTGAGGCAGAGAGAGAAACATGACTTTGAAAGGCTCTAGGATCTGCAAAGTAGAATGCAGTTGTTTCGGGGCTTCCCTACCTTTCTAGGCTCTGGGACCCATGAGAACTTTCTCTGGGGCGTTCTCATCAAGGGGTTACAGAGTGGAATCGTGGCACTGTGGTCCCTGATACCCTGCAGTAAATCCCACAGGGACTTTCCCAAGGCAGCTTTGTAATATGTAAGCCTGATCCAACAGAGCATAGCTCAGGAAAACTGGCTGGGGGCGTAAACAGTGCTGTCCCGGTTCACAGCTCTGTAGTGACCAGCAGTGAGATGAATTTCAGATGGTTTAGGACAGTATTTCCCAAATGGTGTTCCACCACCGAGCTCTGGTGATAGGTTGTTCCTGTCAGTGACAATGGGTGCCAGAAATATTTAGCTTCTAACATAAAAAATAAAAAAGAAGGCAGAAAGAGGAAGGATATAAATTCTGTAATTCGTTTTTTCATGCACTGATCTGTAAGGGAGGATGCTGGAATGTCCCTGCAAGACCTCTGGACACAGCCTATAAGACCTGCAGCCCCTCCACCACCACCACCACCATCCCCAAGCCACACAGGCAGCTGGCACTCCCAACTCACTGTTAGCCTGTCTGCTCTCCATCCAGGGATGGTGGCTCTAAACTCTACCATTCCTTATCTGGGGTCTTTTAGGCTGTGTGTAGGTGCCTTAATCATGAATCGAATCTTCATCATTCCTTCTAGCAAGGGGTTGGTATGTGAGGCCATGTTTTGTTGTCTGCTTTCATCCGAGCACGCATTTAGCTCCTGTTGCTCTGTTGTCTTACTGTAGTGGTAAAAGTGTTCTGTGATTAAACAAACTCAGGAACTGCTGATCCAGGGAGGTGGCTGGGCTGCAGGCCCTTTAAGAAGCAGAGTTCCCTGAGCGGCACTGCTGGGAGATTCAGTTATATTTCTGAGTGAGGTCAGATTAGGGCACATCTAGACACATCCAGAATCTCCTATGCAGACTACAGGTGAGTATTCTCCCATGAAAACAGGCACCTAGCAGGGCTATGCCAAGAGGGTGTCACCAGAAGCTCCTGTTTCCTCGTGGAAGGCAGCCAGTGGGCTAGAGTCAGGGTCCAGGTTTGACTTACACTAAAGAGCTTGAACTATTTCTTTGTATATATGGACTTCCAGAAACAATGACATTTGTTGGATAATAATTACAACTATAAACTTATTTAGTGGTTACAATGTTTCAGGCCTATGCTTAGCCATTCGCATGTTTTATATTACTTAATTCTCTAAGAAACTATAGCTAATTAGGATTATTATCTTCTTCTTATAGACAGGAAACCAAGAGTTACAAAGAGGTTAAGAAAAGTTTTTTCTTTTCTTTTTTTTTCTCTCCTTTCCTTTCCTTCCTTTCTTTCTTTTCTTTTTTATTCCAGAAAAACGTAAGCATGAGAAAGAGAGAGGGAAAGAAAGAGAGTGAGAGAACGTCAGCAGGGCCTATTCACGCTGCAATCCTTTTCTCTCCAGTTCTCCATCCTGTCAGGATCCTGGGTACATGCACTTACTTCAAGCCACTGGGGCTGATACCTGAACCCTGGTCTACCATGTGGAATCCAATTTCCTTGGTGTAGCACTTAGCTGCTGTGCTATGGGGCCAGCTCAAGAAAAGTTTCTTAAGGTAAAGAGTTGAGCTGGCAGTAGTATTTATATCAGGTTATAGTTAATTCAGTTTGCAGTCTTCTGGTTCTAGAATATTCTTGTGAACTGTAGGGTGGCTGTGAGTTTGGCTCAAGTGAGGTAAATAGACACTTTTATGGATTTTCCTTTTCTCTTTCAGCATGTGAAGATGGATATAGACTTGAAAATGAAACCTGTATGAGGTAAGCTCCATGTTCATTTATTCTGATAAATTTGTTATGGGTCTTATTTAGAAGTTACCTCAGTGTTTTCTTTTGAGACTTGACACTAATTGTTCTTTCTGTTGTTACTGACTTGCAGTTGCCCATTTGGCCTTGGCGGTCTCAACTGTGGAAACCGTAAGTGTACAGATGTGGGAGTTGTGCTTAGACAAGGGCCTAGCCCTGTTGTTAGGGCGTCAGTCTCCTCCAGTTTCCCTCAGTCCAGATCCTGTCTTCGTAGGACACTACGAAGTGCTGGACACTTCTGGGGAACCAGAGAAAGACTTGACTGGTGCTCTCCGGGGCTTCAGGTCCAAACAGTCCTGAATGGCCTTGCATGAGGCAGGCGTCAGTATGATTGATCAGGCAGGAGACGGGAGGCAGGGAGGCAGGGGCCAGGCTCAAATGAGAATGGAAGGATGCCATGAGTACTTCTCGGAGGCATGGATTGGAGGGAGGTTTGGAAAGACTAACTGGCTGGTACGGAGAAGGATGTCCCAGGTGGAGAGAACAGTGTAAACAAAGTCTCAAAGTAGCCCTGGGTCCCTGCTCTTCTGGGGACAGTTTATAAGTGGGTATAGGTAGAGTACAGAAAAAGAGGAAGGTGGAAGTGGAGGGTTAGGTTGAACTCTTGGAGTTTTAATTTCCGGGTTGAGAGCTTAGACTTCTCAGTAACCACTGGGGAGTCGTAGAGCTGGAAAGCAATTTGAAGAAAGTAAGCCATGCTGCAGTGAGGAGGATAGCCTGGATGGAGAAGGATGTGGAGGCCATTTAGAGATGCCGAGTGTAGTCCCACACAGGCACCAGGGCAAGAGCCAACCTGCGCGTCCTCTCCCACTGAAGCAGAGAGCAATCTCCCACTGACTGCACAGAGCAATCAGGAGTGCGGCTGGTGATCGCGGGCATGTATGTTTCCTACCTAATTCCATTCTTTGAGCAAAGAGCTATGATTCATTTAAGATCATGTTCACTGATGCGTTCTTTTTAAAAAGTTTATTCATATTATTTCTTTCATGGGTGAGGGGAGAGAGAGAGAAATAGGCACCCTCAACAAGGTCTTCTCACACTATAATCTCCCTACCCCCAGGCTTCCAGCCAGTCAGGATGATGAGCATGCACGCACCCAGCACGTTTCAGGTCAACCTAGGGTCTGAATCCTGGCCCTCCATGTGACTCCAGCATTGCAAAATGGCTCCCTACCGCCTGCACTACCTTGGCTGGCCCATTTCACTGATACATTCTTTTACTGAGACATCACAGCTGAAATCACCTTTGAAATTGTTAAAGAAATTTGGGGTATAGGATATAATAGGATGCAATAGAAATGATAACAATCAAGACTTTATTTTAGGTTAGGTTTATTCCTCATTCTACAAATAGATGTGGCAATGGCTCATATTCTTTTTTCTTTCTTTCTTCCTTTTTTTTTTTGGGAGAGGTTTTTGCTATAGGGCACATGCACTCACCAGAAAGACAGAGAGAGACAGAGAGACAGAAAGCGAGAAATTTCCCCCCTGGGGGATGCCCACACCACAATCCCTTCTCCTCCATTCTCCTCTTGGGATGTTAAGCACACACGTACATGCACCTGGTGTGAGTTTAAGCCCCCGGGTCCGGGACTTGAACCACAGTGGACTACATGGGAGTCCAGTGACATAGTCATTATGCTAACTGCTGGTCCCACAATGGCTTGTATTCTAACTTTACTAGATGAGAAGTAGACATGATTTTATTTAATGTGAGTAAAAACCTCCAATTTCTTTTTTTTTTTTTTTAAATAGCAAGAGTGCACATGCACTTGCTAGAGAGAAAACAGAGAGACAGAGGGAAGGATAAAGCACCCTCCACACACACATACCCTCCCAAATGGGGCATGGTCAACTGTAGTCTCCTCCACTTCTCCATCCTGTCAGGATTTGGGGCACACACATATCCTGGCATTTTTGGGGGCCGCTGAGGCTGAGACTCGAACTGCAGTCAGCCTGGTGAGATCTGCCTGCCTTAACCATTAGGCTCTGGGGCCAGCCTGAAATGTTTCCAACCTCTGTTCTCCAATGATATACCTTCCATTTTATGTACTTAGTGGTCTTTTTCTTTGTTCATAAAGCTTACCTATTAGCAAGTTTCATTACTAGACTTCCTTTGAGCGTAACTAAAAGATAAGAACATTACAAGAAACTCAGTACTAAGTACAAAACTGACATAAACCTGTCTGGCTATAGCTAACACGAAGCCTCTGTTGGGCCGGTCTAGAGAGTCGGAGTTGCATATCTATTTAGGATCACTAATGCCTTTGGTCATCTGGCGTATCCTGACTGCAAACTAGCAAGAGTTTACAATTGATGGGCTAAGAGAAAGGCTAGAAAAGTATTTCTGGAAACATATATTTAGTCATATGAATAGAGAGGGAAGAGCTCAGAGGTTTAATTTTTTAATTATTTATTTTCTTGATAGAAAGGCACCTCCAACAGGGCCTCAGCAAACTACGATGCTCCCAGCCCTCCAGCCAGCTGGGATCAGGGGTATGTCTGGCATGCTCAAGGGCACTCATTCATTATGATTGATCAGCGTCATTTACACTGCAACTGGTGTTCATTTACTCAGTTTTAAAAAGTGAGGAAGTTAACATACTTTCTATTTTTAAAAAATTAAAAAGTAATCAAGCTTATTTTTAAATGTGTGTGCTTGGCTTGAGTGTTTGGGAGATTTGGCTTATGTAGGATAGTCTGATAACAGCATAGGTCCTTTTCTTTAAGAGACAGAATGGAAGTGAGAAATCACCTCCCAGGAAGGAGTGGCCACACCGCAATCCCTTCTCCATTCTCCCCTCGGGATTTTGGGCATGCACACACATGATGGCATGGATTTTCAAGCCACTGGATTCAGGACTTGAACCACAGTTTGCCGTGTGGGGAGTCTAGGACCTTTATCACTATGCCACCTGCTGGCCCTGGGTTCAGATTTTAATATTTTTGTGGTCAGGGTGTCTGTGCTTTCAAGGGCCTGCCTGGCATACAGAATTGCAGGTGTTCATTGTCCAGTGTGAATCTTACTCTTCATTCAAAACCAGAGCCAACCCACAGAGAGCTCTTGACCGGACAGAAAAGGGAGTAGCCTGCACACAATAATAGACTGAAAAGAAAAAGAAGAAAAAAAAAAAAAAAAAAAACTAGAACTTTCCAATGTGGAAAAAGGAGACTGAATAGCCAGACAAAAATTTAAGATATTTGAGACTTGTTCTCCAAATGCTGTAATACTAGGAGTAAGTGGCATAGACTTTCAGAAGAAATCATGTTAGGCATAATGGCAGCAATAAGCCTGCACATCTTATCCTGAGATATTAGAAGTGCTATAAACAGATAGTCACGGATAATTCCATGAAGAAGTTACTAATGTGAGGGGGGAGAGGGCTCGGGGTGCAGAGGTGTAGCCCGTGTGCCGGAGGCTGTCTGAGTTCAGTCCCCCTGGGTGACAGTGGTGCATCCAGTTCTGTTGTCTCTTGTGTGTGCCCCTGGGGTGAACCAGGGAGCAGGAATTGAGAGGGAGGATCTGCTGAGTTGTCCTGGGACCTCTGAGCCCTTACAGGCCTCTCCTAGAATGAGCCAGTACCTTAGCTTCAGTCACACAGCTCCCTGTGTAAGTTTTACTGGAAAATGCCTTGTCTTTCTCAGAACAATGAAACAGTCCGTCTCAGAATGATCCCGCAAGGGCAAATGAGTCTATAAAGGATTGTAAAAATGGGATGTGTGCTGTAGGGCAATATTCTAAGAGCACTGGTGATTTTTTTCTGAGATTAAATACCCACTAAGTCCGGAGGATGCTGCACTCCTGCATCCATTGACTGTGCTGTAAGTTCTTAGGTCGAGAGAGTCAAGTCCTCCCTATTTGTTTGTGGGGCCCTGGAAGTGACCTGGCTGTTGTTTCTCTGGTCCCTGAGACTTTCTCCTCCCATTCATCCAAGTCACCATCATTGTGTCCAGCAGAGGGCAGACATTTATCTGGTTGGCTCCCGGCCACCTTTTGTAATTGGCAGCTTATCGTTCAAGTATGGTAATGTCTATGACTTCCATGATGGTATGTGAATTTTTTTTATGATTTTGATTATATTGTTTTTAGAGTTGCAAAGCAATTAACAGAGGCTGATAATAAATAGCATTGGACATTTCCCTGAGGTCTGGGCCCAGAGGTGGATATTAGTCAAAATGCCTGAATTTCATCCCTGTTTATGATGACAGCACTTGGAAGCCCATGACTCATCATTGAATGTTCTGTGCCAAATCGCAGGGTTCCAACCACCTACCAGTGTTACTTCCACTATTGCCACCAAAGACAGTAGATGCTTTCTGGGGCTGAGACTCAGGCTAGATTTTTCACAGGCAAGGAATGCTTCTCTATGCAGACTTCTTGGGGAACATTCTCCACCCAAGTCCAATGGGTTAAGACGGCCAGTGTTTTCCAGCCGAGAACTGTGGATCTAGAGATTCTCTCATTGCTACATTCTCCATGGTCATCGAAGGCCAATGTATTCTGGGCTGTGTAGCCTGGGGCCTGCCTTTCTGAAAGACGCAGCTGATGGTCTAATTATGTCCAGGTTTCACGGCCTGTTCCTCATAGGCAATATCCTTTACATTGGGAAGGGCAGGACCGCCCCTTCTCTCCAGCCTTTAGTCCCTGAGGAAGTCGGTGCAGGCCTGCCTGGTTTAGGTCAGGCTGGGCTGCCCACACCCAGGCAACTCAGGTCTGCCCGTCTCATCAGTGCTCTGTGTTTTATATCCTTTCCAAGCAAACTAGGCCTCTGTTTATATCCCTGATTCCAGCAGTTCTGGCCATTTGTCACATGGCCCCAGAATGCTTTTACAAATTCATCATCTGATGTGTCCCTCTCTTCCCTTGCCCCTCCACCCTTTTCTTAGGTGTACACTTGCTCTGTTGCTGAAAATTTTTAAGAATTATTTATTTAACTTTATTCTTTTATTTTTAATTTGACCAGAGAGAAAGAGAGAGAGAACGTGAGAAAGCAAGCTACCAGGTCCGGGACTCAAACCGTGGTCAGCCATGTGGGAGTGTCCAGCGCCTTAACCACCACACCACCCACTGGTCTCCCTGTTGCTGAAATTTTATGTTATCTCCTCCTCACG